ACATCGAGCTGTGAAGGCACCCCCTCACCCCAGGCGTCACTTAGTTGATTGAGGAGTAGACCTGTCAGGCATTGCATCTTCTTAAGATGAACAAATTGCTCATCTCCTGCCCCTGTTCAGGTCCAGTGCTTATCAGTGCAAGATAAGCAAGTTGCTCAATCCCTGCTCTCGCCCAAGCTGGACTTGCCCAGGGCCCCTTCTGCTGGCTCATAATGGCCCTGTATTCGGCACCAGCAAGCCTGGACAAGTCTGGCATCCCACAACTCCACAACCTCCCTGGGCAAACTATTCCAGTGCTTGGTCACTCTCGAAGTAAAAAAAGTGTTTCCTGCTGTTCAGAGGGAACCTTCTGTTTTTCAGTTTGTGTCCATTGCCTCATGTTCTGTCACTGGGCACCACTGAAAGGAGCCTGGCTCTGTCTTCTTTGCACCCCCCTTCCAGCTAATTAGATATATTCAAAAGATGCCCCCTCAGCCTTTCCTTCTCTAGGCTGAACAGTCCCAGCTCTCTCAGCCTTTCCTCATAGGAGAGATGCTCCAGACCCTTCCTCAGCTTTGTGGCCCTTTGTTGGAGTCCCTCCAGTATGTCTCTGTCTCTCTTGTACTTGGGAGCCCAGAACTGGACACAGCACTCCAGGTGTGGCCTCACCAGTGCTGAGGAAGCATCACCTCCCTCAACCTGCTGGCAATACTTTGCCTAACGCAGCCCAAGATAACATTAGCCTTCCTTGCAACAAGGGCACTTGCTGGTTCATGTTCAACTTGGTGTCTACCAGGACCGCCAGGTGCTTTTCTACCATGCTTGCTTTCCAGTTGGGCAGCCTCTAGCATATATCAGTTCATAGGGTTGTTCCTCCCCAGGTGCAGGACTTTGGAATTTGCCTTGTTTAACTTCATGACGTTCCTGTCAGCCCGTGTCTCCGGCCTGTTGAGGTCCCTCTGGATGGCAGCATGACCCTCTGGCGTATCAGCCACTCCTCCCAGTTTGGTGTCGTCTGTAACCTTCTGAGGGGACACTCTGCCCCATCACCCAGATCATTAATGAAGATGTTAAACAGAGCTGGACCCAGTATTGATCCCTTAGGGCTTGAATTAGGTTTGGGATTTTTTTTACCATTAGCAAGCATTCTTAAACACTCTGAGAAACAGACCATACATGGAGACTGGCCTTCTAGATCTGAGGTTTGCATGATAAATAGGGAAAAATTTCCACAAAAAAAGAAGGGGACAATATTTGGAGAGAGTCATATTATCTTCCTTTCCGTGTTTACCAGGAAAACCCTGTAAATAAAGGCATAGCACAGCATTAAGTTCATAAGAAGAAATAACTGATTATTAAGGCAATGGTCGGGTAGTACGGCAAGTGAAATGATTCAGCTATTTTGACTGGGGAGATGCTTGAGTTAGTTAGAAATAAATGAAAAATCTGAATCAGATGCTTGTTTTACACAGGGGGCCTAAGCAGACAAATGGAAGAACCTGACTAGTCTGAAATGTAACAACATTGATAATGAAAACATGAAGGGATAACAAGTATTAAAGGTATGCACTGGGCAGGAAAGATCAAAACATAGGTAGATAGATAGATAGATAGATAGATAGATAGATAGATAGATGTGGTATGTAGCAGATGTGAGAGACTTTTACATTAATGTCTGTTCTTTCTTTATCATCTGTTGGATTAATTCATCTTGCAGATGGATAAGAAATTTTAATCACAATAATATTGGGAAATAATATTGAAATATATATTGAAACAGTATGAGTCACTTAAATACTAGGACACCGGTATTTTCTTTTCTATATGCAGATTTCTCCCTTTTGGCTAGATCTTAATTTCTACTACAGGCAGTGCAGGTCTCGTTAACACAGTCAGCTGAGTATAGAGAGTTGTATCTAGGTTTATCTAAGTAGGCATCTTCAGTGGCATAGTTGTGTAAACAAAGAGACTTGCAGATGTTTCAGTGCAGAGTAGCCCATTGCTGCTCTAGAAGGACATGTGTCTCCTGTAACCCATGTGTCATATGTGCCACACATGAATGTCTTGGACCCTCTAGGGCATCTCAGGTAGCAACTGAGTTGAAGTCTTGAGCTGCTCAGCTGAATGAATCTCTGTGCATCATTGATTGTATTGACTGTGACTCTTAGTGGGAGCTTAGTTGACATATGGACAGTGTTGTGGTTCAACCTGGCAGGTAGCTAAACCAACCACACAGCTGTTCACTCACTGCAACCCCCAGTGGGATGGGGGAGAGAATCAAGGAGAGTAAAACTCGTGGGTTGAGATAAAAATAGATTAATAGGACAGAAAATAGTAGTAATAATAGTAATAATAATAATATACAAAAAAAGTAATGCCGAGCACATTTCTCACCACCTGCTGACCAATGCCCAGCTAGTTCCTAAGCCATGGCACCGCCCCCCAGCCAGCTCCCCCCAACTTATATAGTGACCATGACATCATATGGTATGGAATATCCCTTTGGCCAGTTTGGGTCAGCTGTCCTGGCTGTGTCCCCTCCCAGCTGGCAGAGCCTGGGAAGCTGAAAAGTCCTTGACTAAATAGTAAACACTGCTTGGCAACAACTAAACATCAGTGTGTTATCAACATTGTTCTCATCCTAAATCCAAAACAGCATTAGACCAGCTGCGAGGAGGAACATTAACTCTATCCCTGCTGAAACCAGGACAGACACTCAAATGTAGATATCTGCACCTCAGACTGAATCCCATCCATACAGTCAAATACAGATACAAATATAAAATTTGGATGGATTAATTTGGATATAATATTATTAGATTACCTCCAGAAATTGTATCATATATGATACTGGTAAATAAAGACTGAAAACCAAGTGCTAGTAATAATGATGAGGCACAGGTCTCAGTGGATGTGATAGTTAACACATTTTATCAGAAAATACTGGAGTAAAAGGAGCAAATTCTGGTTTAGATTTTCAAAATCTAGAAGAGCATTGCAGAAAAGCCAGCCATAAGAACTATCAGTTCAAGTGATCATTAATTCATTCATTTTATATTAAACAGATATATATACTCTATGTTTTCAGCAAAGGCAGAAACAAATGGAGGACAAAGGAAGAAACAGCTGATATCAGCAAGTGCTTGGAAGAGAAAATGATTGCAGCCAAATCCTAAGGAAAACTCAAGGAGCTGGGTGTGCTTAAATTGAGGGAAATGAGTAATCCATACCTTAGGATTCTGAAAGAACTGGCTTACTACATCACTGATCCGAAAGCAAGTGACTTTAATAAATCTGTGGATGATGGCATTGTGTGCATGGGAGAAAAGCAAATTTTTTTTTTTTTTTTTTTCAGTTTTAAGATAAAGGAATAATTGTTGCAACACCAGACTGAACTACAGATTTATTATAAGTGGCTGATGGCGGGCAAGCCTGTTGACATTCTGTGATGAGACAATAGATTTGCTGTCACAATAAATATAATAATCTTGTTCACTGTGACCTCTGATAAAGATACCATGTCACATGGGAAGCAACTGATTAATTTGGAGAAAATGGAAATGAGTAGATTTGTTGAAGGAGTAAAGAGCTGGCAAATAGAACATGATAGCAGTGACTAGTGAAGGAGACTGCTGGGAGAGTAGAAACAGAGTTGTTCCAGGGCCAGGTTTAGGACTAATCTTAACATTTAATGTCTGACCTCGATACACAAAGTAGAAATAGATTATGATATCTTTCTTCTCATACTAATTATGTAATACAATAGGGATCTGGATGTTGTTTAGGAAAAGAATGACACTGAAGATTAGATTATTAAAAATGGGATTAAAATTATAATAGTGTAGACCAAAGGGAAATAGTGAACAAATTCTGTTATGAACTGAGAGCTGATCACCTGGACACAGGTGCAGAGGAGAATCGGATTATTCTAGCTGATCCCTTGTTGACTGTGAGCCATCACTGTGCAGCTGTGAAAATTTCTCTATACACATAAGAACCAAAAATGGACTCTACCACTGTTATTCTAGCTCATCCCAATTGTAGACAAGGTAGATGGCTACAGACGTAAGAAAGAGAGTCTCCCCACAAAATACTGCTTTCTAGCTAAGTTGTTATGGGTTACCTTTGACATCCCACGTGCCTCTTCAGCCAGTGCAGCATCTCTCTTGACAAGTGGTTTGAAAATGGATGTGCAGATGAGATCTGAAATCTTCCTCCTACTGAAGAGAAGCCATCAGAGTGAACTTTGGTTAGAAGTAAGGAGCAATTCTGGCTGGTCATCACAAGGTGACTTTGCTAACCTGTCAAGTAGGAGCAGTGTGGAAGACCGTATCTGTATCGTTTTAACACAGTGGAAACGTGTAGCGCATAACTGATAATTGTAGTGTATGGTTAATTGTTTTTGTCTCTGCAGTGTGCCAGCCAGAACCATGTAAACAAAAAGTCCACAAGAAGCAAACAGAATGACAAACGTCATAATGATTGAAGAATAAGGACTATAGTGATAATATCTTTACACAGAATGGAAATATTTGTAAAACATCATTTTATTTACTATAACCACAGGGTTCCTTAAAGGAGGTTCTTAAACAACTAGAAGAAGAGAAGAAACGTCTCCAGAATCAGCTAAAAAACTATGAACTTAGACTGGAACAAGAAGCAAAGGTTTGTAATCACTGTATGCCTCTAATCTATAAAAGCCATTATGTTGTCTGGCAGACAGACAATGTGTGTGGAACTCACAATAGAATAGTTCTACAACGTGTGTCACTGGAAAAAAGCTCTGCTGTATATTTGTTTCTTCCTGTGTGATTCAACTTTTAAAACATTTTGCTATATCCTGTAGCCTATATCCCTTATTTTAACTGTAGGGTATCCCTTATTTTAACTGCAGGCTTATCACAAAGCTAATGATGAGCGGCGTTCGTACCTCTCAGAGATCTTGCAGGTAAGAGAAGCGTGAGACTTGATAACTTCTAAAAATCATTATGCTTTCTTAATATAACAACAGCATCTGTTAATGCCATTAGGTCAAAGTCTTTTATCACTTCATCTACCAAATCCATTACAAAAGCTGCTTTTTAAAAATTTTAAGAGATAGATATTGAAAGATATCAGTTTATTTACTTTAAAATACTTTTTTGCTTTTGTATCAATTGGAGTTTCATTGTTCCCAAACATAATCAAAATGCCCTTAATTGAGAAAGCTGAAGCAATTTTCTGATGCTTGCTTGCCCATCCATTAGTCACAAGACCACTATGCTAGTTTAATGTTTCAGTTGAAAAGAACAGAACCAAGTTACCAGTAGTGACACCCACCTTCTGTAGCAATTCCTCTTTTTCCTATTTCTCCTTTTTTCTTTCAAAAACCAACTAGCCAGCCAGCTCAGAATGACAATACAGCATATTTCAATTAAATTTATAAGATAGGGGATAAGATACCTTGTTTTTGTGAAATCAGAGGTTAAATTTTATTGCTGCAAATTATGTAATATAAAAGAGTTGATATTAAAAACTGGAGGAACCTGTAAAGGAACCTGTAAAGATTTCTAGTACTTCTTATTCTGAAAGAGCCCTTAATTCCTGAATAATGTAAAAGTAGTAGCTTAGTGTGATACTCAAGAATGACTGCCACTGAATCCCTGTCATAGCACACTGGGGTGAAAGGCTGTAATTAGCAGTGTTTCCATGTGTTTGCACAGTGGGCAACTGATTCTTACTGCTGCTTTGGGAAATCTGAAAGAATTGCTTAAACTAACTTTCCAGCATGAAACCAAGAAAGAGCCCAGGAAATGCCCATGATAACTATTAATATCTTTGCATTAACGGTGAAACTGGGAACTGCTGGAGAAAGAAGATAGGAAATAAAAGATGATTTTATTACTGAACATGCTAGCAAGAGGAGTGCCAATGTTCAACTGCCTAGAAAAGCACTTAAGCATGCATAAAACATTATTTGAAGTGAGGTATATGCAGTGGCATATTGCTTAAATGGGGTATTAGGGACTAGGATTTTGCCACCAACACTTAAGGTAGTTAGTGCGTTGTATTTTCAGCAATCAATTGTTTGCCCCTATGATTTCAGAATCATGTGAGAGCAAAATAATCATCTTCAGACTAATCTCCCTGTATTTAGTTCTCGGAATGTTAAACAGCTGTCATGGTTTAACCTGGCAGGCAGCTAAAACAACCACACAGCTGTTCACTCACTTCCCACCACCTGCAGTGGGATGGGAGAGAGAATTGAAAAGGGGAGAAAAAAGTAAAACTTGTGGGTTGCGATAAAGAGTTTAATAGGACAGAAAATAATAATAATATGCAAAACAAGTGATGAACAGCACAATTGCTCACCACCCAAAGCCAATACTCACCTAGTTCTCAAGCCAAACTGCCTCCTGGCCAACCCCCATTTATATGCGGAGCATAACATTATATGGTGTGGAATACCCCTTTGGCCAGTTTGGGTCAGCTGCCTTGGCTGTGTCCCCTCCCAGCTTCTTGGGTACCCTCTGGCTTCTCACTGGCAGGGAAGTATGAGAAGCTGAAAAGTCCTTGACTGCTTGGCAACAACTGAAACATCAGTGTGTTATCAACATTATTGTCATCCTAAATCCAAAACACAGCACTATGCCAGCTGCTAGGAAGAAAATTAACTCTATCCCTGCCAAAACCAGGACAACAGCCAATCTAAAGCAATTGTAGAGGGATCCTCTGTAATCAATGGAGAGAGAAGCATGCTTAAGGCACAAATTGTCACACCTGTTTTAGATGAAGATGAAATTAATTTCCCAGGGACTTATCTGTCTCTTCCTAAGCTATAAGCAGAGCTTAGGTGAGTAGTTTACATTAGATACTTACTTTTTTTGTCATTAGCTGAATGGGGTAGTCAACCTAATCATGGTTGACTGTTGGTTGCAAAAGAATCAGTGGCTTATCTAGTCTCTTCAGGTTCTGTTCTGCTATGACTTTGATTTGCTTGTTGCTTTTATATTCTTTTAAAATCTATATATGTATGCCTTCTCTTTTAAGAGTTTATTTTAATAACAGAGGCAGAAGTAAACTTGCATTCAGTCCAGACTCTTTCAGATGTATTAAAATTTCACTGCTCTAGAGTCCACACAGTAATGTTGGCAGCAGTTGAGTTAGAAGGATTTACCCATAGGGTAGCATTTTCCATACATTTTAAAGTAAATATACTACAGGATATTGTTATCCTGTGTGTGTCCACAATATATTTCAGTGACACTCTCTTAATTACAGAGAATGGATATAATGTCTTCTTAGGCCTTTTTTTCCTCATTATGTTTGTGCTTTTCTATAGATCACAGTTTAAAATAAAAAAAAAAAAAGTTTTTACTGGTAGATGTTTAAAAAAAATCCCAGATGTTTTGGGGTTTTTTTCTACTGTGTTTTGGATTCCTCCTGAAGCCTGTGACAGATGCAGAAGAGAGGTATGCTTCTAAGCAGCCATTTATTTTATTTACCTTTTTATTATCAAGTGCTTTTCTGCTTTTTTACAAAATATATCTATCTTCTGGGTGCTTTTGTAGTTTGTCTTGCCTAGATGCATAAAGATATAGTCAATTTTAAATGATACTTTTAAAATAAAGATTTCACAAACTTGAGAACTCATGCTAGAGGCACTGATGGTTTATGGTGTATTCTTGTTTGCTTTTTCATTTTGTTTTCAGTCTGAAAAAATGTTGCTTTGGGATTTGGACTCCACAAACCCCAAAGCACTTTCTGGTGGTATTCAGAAATCGGTTTGAGAAGCAGGCAAAGAAGAATGATAGCAGATCTTTAAAAGGGCCATTCTTTCAGGCCAGATTTTTACCACAAACTTTCACTGGCATAGTAGAGTCTGAGTTGTGATTGGGATTTCTTTGCAGAAAAAGCCCACAATTATGCATAGGTACAGCTGGAAAGCTGCTTGTGCTACAACAGCTCATTTTAGTTGGGATAGGCCTGGAGTGAACTGTACCAGCAAAACCAGTGCTTAATAATAGTATATACTGGCACTCCATATTCATATAAATTAAAAAAAACCAAAACCAGTGAAGGCAATTGTAGCGTAGGTCTTGCCTCGTGTGTCACCGAATCACATCTGCTCAGGAGATGATAAATTATACTAGCCATCATCTTTAGTACTAGAGTTCCTTGAGGGCAAAAAATGTCTTGTTTTCAAGGAAGAAAATCTGTGCAGATGCTATTCCATTTTTATGTTTGCACTCTGCTTTAGTTACAGCTGATTTGCTATGACTGGGTCAGGAATATTTGCCTGGTGCATTTTATACATGGAAGCACAGTAGAAACCATTAGCTTCTAAGCATGCTTCTTTTCAGTGACAGAATTTTTTTCTCACAAGTGCAAGATGTTTTCACACATGCTATAAAATGTAATGCTGTAATGTAATATATAATGCAATAATCCAAACCTTGAGCCTTGTTTAGGTAGTCCCAAAATCTAGCTCGAGGCTTTCAAAAAATCTTCACTGGCCTGGTGTAGCCGATGCATTGTATATCATGATTATCATATATTACGTGTTTCTGATGGATCTGTTCAAAGGGGCTGAGAAAATTCCATTACACTAGACACCCAAGTGTGCACAGCAGCTAGACAAGCCCTAAACCTTCTGCGTTTTCTGGTTTTCTGTCCATGGTATAGCTGTCCCTCCGAGAGGCAGTTTTAGTAAAGGCAGCTGGATGAGCCAGCAAGTGCTGGGTGAGGAGGGGACCCTGTCAGCTAAGGAAGAGAAGAACCAATTGATTTAACCTTGTTCAGTTTTTGTTAGATGCAATATCAGAGGTAATGACTGGGGTTTTTTTCAGTATGTCCAGTAATGTAGACTTCCAAAGTATGCAAAGATTTCCATGCTGTTAATTTTTTTAAAGTAGTTCCTGTTGTTAATTAATGGCTTAATCATTCAAAAGTACAACTAAGTCACTATAATTTGTTTTGTTTCCCATTCTGAGAAGTATGTTAGAAATATAATGCTTCTTCACTGAAAATGTGGAGTTATAGGCAGTATGACCAAAAATATGCTGATTGAAATTACATATTCTCTGATCGTCCAGCTTAACAAATAATGGTATTATCGTACAACATGGGATTTTGCCATGTGTTCAATTCCCCAAATCAACAAGGTATTGGTATAATATGTGCTTAAAGCACTTTATGGCAGTAAGACCATATTGGGTCAAAATTAGTTTGGAAAAATTTTACTACTTTAACTGTGATTGTGGTTAGAATTTAACTTGTTTTGTAAAAAATTGGCTACTGCAGACCTCAGCTGCACTTAAAATTGTTGAAAGGCAAAAACCAGATGCTCTGACAGGCAAGGGAGAAAACCAGATACTGAGGTAAGTTTTTTTTACATTCCCTGTATTCTATGGTTTATTATTTTTTGCTAAGTACTATGTTTTGAATATTGCAACTCTCTGTTCATGGTAAATATTGCTGACCATAATCCTACTGACAAAGTGCTAATCTTAACATAATTTTTGGTACTGCTTTTCAATCATTTTGTTTAATACTAACTATGTTGCAATATTGAAAATACATATATTTAAGTGAATTTAGATTTATATTTTGAAATCTTGCAATACCTCTGATGTTGTTCCCTTTCAACCTGTGTTTAAAATGGATTTTTTTTTTTCTATATTACTGCAGAGTTGGGAGCAACAAGTATACCCCTTGGTCCATTAAGAGTAATTCTCTTAAATAAATGCCTTGCTTGGTGCTTTTTAGCCAATAGAGATTGTAAAGCTTTTTGTGGATGATAATGTGAGTGCTTTTAGATGAAAAAATATAAAGGCTTCATTGTTTAACAGATTTCTGTTTAGTTATATGGGTTAAACATTTAAATTTGAAAAGAGTCCACTTGCTCTGAGCTATATAGAAATAAAATGAATTTCTGATTGTAGTGCTTGTGAGAAAGCTTGAAATTGGACGAGATTTATTTTTTTACAGATCTGAAAATGTTAAGAATATAAAGAATATAGGAAATCATAACAAAAGTGTGTTGGACCCAGTATCCTGCCTGCAGTGGACATAAGTAGATGCCTACAAAACTCTGTAAGCAGGCAGATATAATACTTGCTTTTGGAACTCTCTCAAATACTTTATATTTTGAGACTTCCTGAAGCTAGTATGGTTTCTGTGTAGTTTGTATGTCACAGTAAGTACTCTTCCATGAACCCACTTACCTAGATTATTAAAATGAACATAGACAATACATACTGAGAATATCTGAAAATGTAATGAGTAAATTATAAGCATGAAATTGTGTAGACATATTTGCTTACCAGCTTTATTCTTTCATCCTGTGTAAACACAGAGTCACAGGATTTCATAAATCAGAACAGTGGATCTTCATGCTCCAGGAGAGGATATTAGTAGAATATGAATTAATGTAGTAGAGTATGAATTAATGTCTATAACTGAAGTTTCTCAATGCAGAGAAAGCACCATATGGGTCTGAGGTATCCCACATATAGCCAGTGTGTTGCTTGTGGCCCCAGTGATGTTTAACATAGCTCATGTGGAGAAGGTCAGGAAGCTAGAAGTAGGAGAATTCACTCTCTCTGCTGGGAGATTAAATATCATCAGCCAGATACTGAGATTTGCTGAGGGTTAGCACTGATCTGTGATTTGCTGGGGTTTCTTTATGATTTCTTTTAGTAGACCATTACTTACCCTGAAATTATATGACAGTGTATTTCTGTAATTTTCTTTATATCAAACAAAAGAAAATAAAGTGTAAAAGAAGACAATGTGTCCTGTAATTGCTGGTCTCAGAAGATATCCCCTTTCAACCCATTTTCCCTCAGAGGATTTTTTTTCAACTTTTCAAAGTACTTTACACACATGAAGGGAATTGTTCATCTTTTAAATTGATCTTAGTAGCAAGTTTGCAAATCATTGGCTTTTATAACCAGAGACAATGAACTTTCAGGTCAAACTTTGGTCTTAGTTGGCAACGTGGAAATAAGAATGGGGATTTGGCATAGTTTGCATTTTAAGGAAATACTAGAATGTAAGTAAGCATCTCTTGATCATCACAAGGTTAACACAACCATTATTATATTACTCTTTTTAAATTATGTTTTGATTTACAGCCTGAAGGTTGTTTGTTCAAGCTGACATTAATGAGAATTAATGTCATTCAAATAACAAAAGACCCACATGATTGAAAATAAATGTGTTCTTGAGAATAATTTGAAAATTTTCTGTCCAGAGTTTTTATCTCACTTCTGCTGGCCTTTCAGAAAACACCTGCCTTCACTGGATTTCAAACCGTACTAAGAAACTGTGGTTAATGTTTGTTTTAACAATAGGTACAGGTATGGAAAACCCAACCTATATATTAAAACAACACTGAAACATTTCTGAGTAGTAATCATGAACACTAATTCTTGATGTGTTAAGTTTCCTGGCTATCCAAACATAGAGGCCAAATTCAGTAGAGGTCCTTTTCATGGTATTTCACAGGACAAGAAGACAGGCTAGCTGGCAATTGGGAAAAAACATGGATGTCATGATGTCATGATGACATGTCTCTGATGCAATATAAGCACCCAATTTAATGTCGTTCTGAGCCCTTACTGTTATACTAAGGCATATAGCGGGCTTACTAGCTCCCTTTCGACATGCACTGGCTGCAACTACCTGGCTTCTAAGTCCATGAGTCCAGCTGGTTTTGAGTGGGAAGAGGTTTTGCTGCCTGCAGAATTCCACGCAGACATACGCTGTCTGCTTGGTCCAGCTCTACAGTGATCAACAGATTAATTCAATTTGAGTAATCAATTGAATTTGAATAATCAATTGATTATTGATCAAACTGGGGCCTCTGGTTCTGATCTTCCAAGCTTTGAGTAGAAACAGCTCCATATCTCTTTGGGGGCAGCTGTCCCTTCAAGACCATGACTGCTTCTAAGAGCTGGAACAAAGGCTGCGTCAATCTCAAGAAGACTAGCGAGCCCTAGGCACAACTGCATTGGCTGTTTGCCCAGAAATTTGAAACTTGCAGAGATCATGTCATCACAACTTCTACCGCATAACAAAATATTTCTCTGGCTACCATCCTGAATATAACAATGTGATGTTGTGATATATTTTCCTTCAGAATGCCTATTACTTGAGAAGGACATTGAAACCCAGTATATTGTCGTTAGAGTATGTAAAGTGCTAACTATACACTGTAGTAATGAACGGAGAGAAGAACAAATGGACCAATGTGACGCGTGCTGCTTGATCGTGAGAATGACCCTTGCAGTTTGCGGAATCACCATTTTCCCCCTGGAGATTGGCTTACATTCCCAGTGATTTCTCTTAGAAGATCAAGATGAAAACAGCTCTGATGATAGGTTTTATGTAGGTGGTGTATGTATCCATGATGCTCCACTTCAGAAGTCTGCTGGCAGCATTTCCTGTGTATGACGAGCGTGGTTGGAATACCTGCAGAGAACTGTAACTATATCCACATGAAGGGTTTTTCCATTTCCTAATGGGGATTATGTAACTGATGAAAATGTCTCTTTAGCCAGTTATTTGTGCAAATGTTTAGGATTCTGTTCATGTTCTTCAAATGCCATCATTTAAGTTACAGAAAATAGTCAGGAATCATGAGATGAGGATTGAGTTTGTATGCAGAATAATTAGATGCTCTGCTAGCCTGCAAACCCAGAAATACACTTGTTTTTTCCTCTCTCAGGTTTATTAATTCACAATAGTAATCAATTATGTAAATATAAAAAGCATGCAAATTTCTAGCAGTTAAAGCTTACAGGGAATGTGACACTTGATGACTAACTTCACCCATTTTATTTCAGAGGGAGATACTGTGTTCCAGGAAACCCGACGATGGTTAATCCCCAAAAAGGATCAATTAAAAAGACTGTAGGAGTGAAGAAGCTTCCAAAACTAAAGCGCTGATTTAATAATAATGCCAAGAACTTCCAATCGCTTTTTAAAAAATTAATTTAACTGAAAGCTTCTAAATCGAAAATGAATGTATTTTTGCCTTGTTATAATACCAAACCCAGATTGGCATGTCTTCTTGGCAGCCTTAATGTAAGTGTTCCTCTGCCTAATGGAATTGTTCTTCTAGTTGCCATCTTTGTTCTGGTGATCTCTGACCCTTTCCCTTCTAGTTCACATCAGTGATTCTGGGTGTCAGGGAGTTGGAAGCCTTGGAGAACATTTAATTTCTTCATACACTGTGTAGATCCTTGAACTCTTTGATTGCACAGCAACTGTTGAAAACAAAGAAGCCTCTAACATTTTTGACCTCTCAACCAAGAAGAAGAAAAAGGCAGACTGATGTAACCTGAAGTATTCTCTCACCACCCAAACCAGTAAATCTCAGATAAAAATTCCATCCAAGGGCATCCCCATTCAGTATACGCAGCAAAGAAAGCTGCTGAAGTAGTCTGATGTTGGTACAGCTGAATGTGCCTTTAATTTGGCTTTAAAAAGACAGCATAGTTTACTAGTCAGTCTTATTTCTTATGTGGTACCACACAGTAGAGACCCTTTAAAGTATAAAGTTGTTTTATATTCCATGAGCTTTCTTACTCTAGCAGAGGAGACAAAACACCCCAAATGTGACTTTTTTAAAGGCTGGCTTACCACAGATCCTGTGTTGACCGCCACTTTCTGTCTGCGTGGTTTAAAAGCACACCACCATTTCCAGCTGCTTTAAGCACTAGTAAAGGGGACAAATAAAAGAAAACCTGAGCACTTTTTATTAAGGATTCTTCAGAGCCTGTCTTGTGGAGGGGTTGTTTCTTTCAGTCACTATATCCACATTGCGTTTCCTGGTATTGGCGTGTTGCTATTCGAAATCTGAACTCTCAGATGAACCCTTGTATCCACACTGTGGGTTCTGTAAAAATCTCTATGCGTTCTTCAGTGGCACTGATCCATGTGTTTTTAGGGTCCGAAATCGTGCCAGTCTTTAAAGTAATTTCTTCAATAAAAGTAGATCTACTTTGTATTTTCATTCTTAAGCATGCAATTACTGTTTCAGTTTCATTACCTACATTTTGGTCATTAAACTTCAGCAGAATTTTTTTAAGTGGCAACAGGAAACATGTTTTGGTAATGAAGCTTCAAGCCTCTGCATTACATCTTAAAAGCTCTTGGTAGAGCAAATGTGATTGATTGACTGCCCTTTATTATTTTTAAGAGCATCGCTAGCTCTTTGCAATATCTAATAAAGCTTTTTGCCTCTTTAAGAGCAGTACCTTATTACTGGCAGCATTAAAGTGAGGCTGCAATTACACTTACACAAAAAGATCAATGATGTCATTCTAAAATGCAAAGAAAGACAGACCTGCAGTATTGTACAGCACATTCAGTATGGAAACCCCATTTTTTTTTCTCTTACATAGTATGAGATTTATTACAGATGTTTCTAACATTACCATGATGCACCTGGAATCATCCTTTCATAAGCAGGGTGGTCTGCCTGGCCGGTTTTTTCCTCACAGTCACAGTTGAAAGCATAGCGCAGCTGATTAGGCTAACACTCTTCTTTCTGTTCCTGTTTTTCACATGGAAAATTTCCAAATTTTGATTGTGCTGGCATTTGTCATTGTGAAGGAGGAGAGGGGAAAAAAAATCACCATAATGGCTCTGTTGGCATAAAAGACAAAGGACATCTGCAGCAGTGAAGAATACCCAGTGCTTGGATTCATGCAGCAGACATTTACTACTGCTGTCCCTGAATCAAACGGCAGTCAATGCACTCAAGTCCAGCCCCTGTAGCACCTCAAAATAACTTGAAACATTGCACAAATGTGGCAGAACGACGTTTATTCACAGCAGGAGACTTGGACACTTTCCTCTTGGGTAGTCCTCACCGAGGACTTAAAAAGATGTTTGGGGGGGTTTTAAGCCTAAGAAGATACATTTATTGGTACAGTTTCAAAAGTGGTGTGTTATTCTTTGGACCTGAATAAAACTTTTACACTGCTAGTTTTCCCAAACCATGTTGGAGTTTGTTTGGTTTGGTGGTTTTGGATGGATGAGCATTTTGAATTTCCTGGATTTATCTTGAGTGGACTTTTCTCACTGGTATTATGTTGTACTGTGAAATGGGATTTGTTTACATTTGCAGCAGTGAACAGTTACAGGTCTTTACACAATATCTTCTATATGAATATTTCTGTGCATTTAGGAGTAATTAATCCTTCAAAGCGCAGCTTGTACTAGTATTCTCATTTTAGGCATAGAAGACTGAATCACAGAGCTAGGTTTATTTAACATAGAGGTGGGAGTGTAGTGATGTCTGATTTTTCCCTGATTACATGACGGGGCGATCTTTTGTAATGTCGCTGTTAGAAGGTAAAGTCTGTCTCCTCTAAAGTCTCTGTGCATCACATTCTAAACAGTGGACAAATCTGAAGACAAAAATGGGGAACTGAATTGCTGACAGTTGTGGTCGGTGAGGGAATCGAGCTAAACGTCAGGGGAAGATAGCATTAGAGCTGAAGGTTTGAATCTGGCCAAACTTCTTCCTGCAGCACAGAATGTAATTGGGATTCCAGATGTACTGGTTGTAGTGTATAAGTGCCTTTAATTGATGGACCAAGAAATGTGATATCGTAACTCTTGGGACTTGAGAGTATGCTTCCCTTATAGGGTTACTCATGTAACTCCACTGACTTCAGATGAGTCATGATTTTGAGGTAGCTATGGCATTTTAATTATTTACCTGTATTGTTGCTGGAAAATATGAGTGAAAACACTCAAATGCTGGTAAGCAAACATTTCTTATTTCCTGAGATAGATACCTTTTTTTTTTTCCCCTCATGATTTAAGAGGGTATTGAGTCATGATTTTTCTTTTTAATAGATCAGTATAGCACCACTGTATTCCTCTATGACAGAATAAAATTAAAATGTTTACTGGATAGGCATTGACTGTGGTTGATTATTATGTAATTATGCAGCATAACCACAGACTCCAGAGAACTTGGGTGATGAGCTTCCTCATATTCAAGATATTATTAACAATAAGGAAGATACTTCATTGCTTAAATACTTTGTTTAATGGGTTCTCCATATAAATAACTGACCAGATGATACAGTTCACAGCTTCCCTGATTCCTACGGTATTCCATCTCCACTGATAAAGACAAGATGCATAATTTAGTCTTAATACTTTTCCAGTAGTGGAAGATGCTGTGCAGGCATTTTTAGAAATGTGATGCAGACACAGTAGCAAGCAAGACAATAAATAAATAAATGAACGAACCTCTGTGTTATTAGGCTTCTGCTGTTGCTGCCAGACTGGTGTCAAGCATAAACAGTAAAGTGCGTGGATAAAAATCACAGCTAATTGCAACAGATTTATCTCTTTACATACAAGTGTCACACTAATGGCAGACATTTCTAGACCGGATAATGAGGATTTTCAAAGGTGGCAGTATGTCATTTAACTTGGCAGACCAGTTTAACCCTCTCTTCCACAGATACAAACATTGTATGTCATTCCTTGTAGGTTACAGCTTGGAATCCAGTTCTCCTGCACTGTCCTGTAAACTACTCTGTCCTGTAAACTACCGACTACTCTACCACGTAGACCCTAAGTGAGTATCTGTCTCAGATCTACAGGAGCAGCGTGCAGATGGGACCAGGCTTTCCCTGGGGTTCTGCCTGCAAACCGATGCACCGCTCCGCGGAAGGCTGTGCTGTCCCGTCAGTAAGAACCACCAACAGCTGAGCTAGTGGGTGGGTTTAACCCCTGAATCCATCCTGGGTGCTGCCTGTCACAGAGGTGGCTTCCACCACAATCGCTGTCCTCCAAAACATACCGTGATTCTCCTCCATGAGAAAACTTGCGGAGTCTTGATAGTCTTTTTAAGAGGATGCTGCCACCTACACAGAGCATGCCACCGAACAGGTCACAGCTAGCTGGCTTAGCTCTGCCCTTGCCATTATTCTGTAGAAATTTCGCATGGTGCTTGTGACTCTCTTTACCAAACTCTCAGACATCCTTTCCGTGACCAGACATGCTGGCATATCACCCGATAGCAATGGGAAGAGACATGTATGCCTGATGGTAGTAACAGAAGTTGCCCTTTGTCCGCCCACTGTACAGAACTGTGGACTGAGAAGGACAGTAGTCTGCTCCCTTTAGCACAGGACCATTTGGAGCATCTCCAGTTCTCTAGAAAGGCAGATTATTTGAGGGGGACTACCCCCAGCTGAAGTTCCTTTACCAGGGACAAAACAGGGCTGAGAACTTGTTGCAGATGCTTCAGCACACCTAGCCAGGAGAGGCTAACCAGCTGCTGGAGCTCATGCCTGGAGGTACTTGGCCAGTTCCTAAGTCAGATCTGGGCTTCGAGGTGTAGGCAATGCCATTTCTTCAAATTTTGCAGCTAGGGTTGTTACCACAGCCTGGCCCATGTTTGAGGATTGCCACTACTCCATCAGGATTCCATATGAAAGACTTCCTTGGTGCCATCTTCCCTGATGTAAGCAGCAGAGCTTCATTTCCAGGCTGGTAAAGTTCCTACACTCTGGTTCCCATGTAACTTCCTCACCTCTCTGTTGCCTGGGAGAAGATGAACTCTGCTTCAGGAACCCATCTGTAAAGTAGGGAGAATAGTACGTTTCTGGTGCTGAAAAGTGGTATGAAGATAAATACACCAGTGCTGGAAGGAAGCCAACTGGTAAAAACACAATGAGCCTAAGTACGCCTGACCTAAATCAGATGGGTTTTCTTTTGTCTTGCAGTGAAAATGGGTAACTTTGGTGCTATGTTGGTGCAGAAACTTAACAGCTGTGGCTGCTGCATCTTACTGACAAGAATTGCCGGTAAAGATTCATGCTGGGGTATTTCCCAATGAACACAGCCCAGCATTGTCACCAGTTGCTGTGCAAACGTTGTCAAAGGAAAAAATGTCAGCCATGAAAAGAGAA